CGCGGTCATTGCGGGCGCAATAATCTCGATGGTCTCTATCTCTCTATCTCTCTCTCTCTCTCTCTCTCTCTCTTCTGTTGTCTCTCCGGTCATCTCTTTGTTCTTCTCAATCGTCCCTCAAGTCATCTCTTTGTTCCTCTCAATCGTTCCCTCACTCATTTCTACGTTCTCTTGGTCGTTGCCTCCTACCTTCGTCGTGCTGTTGTTCTTGTTGTTTCTGTTGTTCTTGTTGTTTCTGCTGTTCTAGTAGTTTCTGTTGTTCTTCTTGTGGTTGCTGCTGTTCTCTCTGTTGTTGTAGGTTTTGCTGTCTTTCTTCGCTTTCCTTGGTGTGCTGGGTTTGCTCTTATTTCTTTTCCTCTTCAGTTTTAGGTGGCGTTGGCTCACTATTGACGTCGCGCTGAAGAGCAGGAAGGGGCATTGAGGCATGGCATGGCTGTCCACCAAACAAACAGAACATCTTGAATAAAGGCTGATAGTTTCGAAAGAAACTGTTTGGGGCTGCGTCGGTGGGAGTAACGAAATAATTTGGATATATCAACAAAGTTGAAATGGTAAATTGGCCACCGTAATGATTACAAACAGAACATCTTGGTGAGTCTCATCCTCGGAGACCCAGGGGCTGAGTCGATATCAAGTTAGGGCATGAAGAGCCCATTGTCTTACAAAAGAAGTTCCAAACGGTCGCAGTCGTTCTGCCATCTGATTGGTGCCAGAAAATGTTTGTGTTTTTCTGCCCAATCAGAGTGAAGTGTGCTTTAGAGTCCTTTCGTGTGTTTTAACACGCACATATACTAGTAGTTCAGTTGCTCGCTATGTTTGTTTGGACCGTGCGACGGAGAAGATTTGCTTGAGGTGAAAAGTTTCAGTCTTGGCACACAATGTAAGAGAAGTCGATCAGATTGTCAGCGAAAATCTTACCGGAAATTATACTGAATACTTTCGCAGGTAGCACTAGAGAATGTGTTTTAAAGTTTGCGAGGTTTGTATACAACACGATGGTTGCAGTCATTGATTTGTCGCTTTAAACGTCTAGATTTTTTGCATAATTTGCTGTGACTGAAACTTTGCCAATCCCGTGAAGTTATTTCGTCGCACGGGTATGGAAAGCCAAATGGTGCAAAATTCAAGAGGAATATTACAATCACAATCAACATTTCAGATCACAATCAACACACCAATTTGTTGTAAATCAACACTTATGATCACATTCAACGAAATATAACCACCACCTTCAACACCAATAATGGCACTCAACCGAATTTAAACAGGCAACGTCAAAGTCAACAAAATCAGGGTTTAACTGATAAATCAGTCAAATTCCAAGGGTTTGAAAGGGAATCACATCCAAAGGGTCAAAAATTTGATCAACAAAGTCATAAAAAGATGTCAACAAATCCCATAAAGCCCTCGGGCCTTCACAAAGTGCATCTTGGGAATACGAGGTTTCAAAATGGCGAGTGGTGCTGGCACCCTCGAAGAACAAGTCAGGTCGGCCGTCAGATCCGCCGTAAGAGAAGAACTATCCTCATGAAGTGGAAGTCAGTCATTAGTGGAGAGAACGAGGCAATTAATAAGTGCATCTGCTTCCTCAGCTTCTGGTGCTTTAAACGAAGCGTCTGCACTCAGTGTCGAAAGCACAAAGCCACAAATGAAGCACCAAAACAGAGTGCCACCTCATCGCCTTTGGTTTAAAAAAAGCTAATTATAAGCAATCAACGAAAGTGCAAGTCGTCCCTAAAAGTGTTTACCTTTTACAGGAACCCAACATTGATGCTGACAAGGAATATGGTCTAATCGACAACATGATTGTGATCAAAGGTCAGTGCGATTTTTATCCTGATTACTCAGAAGAAGAGATACGGTCGGAGTTGGTTTCCTTGTTCAAGACAAAGTTACCGCTTATTACAAGGAGGGATTTGGACTTCGTGAAAAGGGGTAGAAATACTATTTCTGTGCCAGTAGTTAAAGAGAATCACAAGTGGAACTTTAAACATCTTTGTGGCACAGGACGGCTGTATCTAAGATTGAATGTGGCACGGGAAACCCTAGTCACAAGTGATGATGAAGGAGGTGATCAGCATGAAAGCACTGAAAGTCAATAATCTGTGCAAGCTGGTAACAACCAGCCAAATGTCCTGGGTGTTAGTTCTGGAAGTATGCAAGTGGGCACAATTGATGAAGTTGAGTGTTACAGCTCCCCTCAGTGGTCTTATCAGTCTGTGGATTCATCATTCATTGATAATGGTGTTGAGTCTTTGTCACCCAGTTTTACAAGTGCAAGTAGAGAAACTGTGAGGGACTCACTACTAACATACCAGGACATTGGGCTTGCTGCAGATGCTTTGCGTGAAAGCACAATGAAGAAGGAAGCAAAAGATGAAAGTGTACACCAAATCCTGAACAGACTTAAGGTCTCCATGAAGCCATATGTGTGTTCGGAAAAGCTAAAGGTTGACAGAGAGGATACGGTCATGGACTTTTTTCAGTTTTACAAGAGTGTTCATTTTGATCCAGTGATACCCATCAAAGTGCAGATCAACGGAGAGCCAGCTGTAGATACAGGAGGACTGCTTAGACAAGTATTCACAGATGTTTTTGCTGAACTTGCAAGTGGTTCATCTTGTCTTCGTTTATTCAGAGGTATGCTTGCAAGACTTACTCCTGTGTACAGCACTGAACATCTTTTGACAGGTGTATTTAAAGTTTTGGGGAAGATGATAGCACACAGTTTAATTCAAGGTGGACCTGGCTTCCCTTATCTCACCCCTGGGATATACTGGTACATAGCCACTGGGGATTTGTCAGAAGCAGTTGGAAGGTCCTCTTTTGTGGATATTGGTGATAGTGAACTTGCTGGCTTTGTTGAAAGGGTAAGGGCCTTTAACATTTTTTGCTTACAATACAGTTATAACAATATTCAGTCTATGAAAGGTGAAAACCTGAATATCATAATGTTATTATTTAACTGTGAATTTCTATATGAAATGCTTTTCTTTACACTTATACACAGCTAAAGCTAAAATTATTTTCTGATATCAAGTTACTCGTTCTTGATGTGTACAAATTTTGCCTGCTGTTTCACTCTAACTCATGCATGCATGTTACAACAATATTAGAGATCTGTCCTAAGTTTCTTATCCATGGTAAATTATCATCTTTTACTTGTTATTTACTAGCTACAATACAAGATATCACAGTCCAGAATTCCTAAATATCATCATTATTCTGAGTTTAGATTAAAGATGGTTCTGCAGATGAACTTTGGGAAATCTCTCAGGATGACAGCTTTTTGAGGTTCATGCAAGAGTGTGGGCAAAGTAGAAACCTAACAGTGAGTTCAATATCTTGTATTCTGTGTTACTAGTGTTTTACAGCTGTAGGTTTATTTGTCCTCAATATCCTGTATCATCCCAACAATCATTTTTAAATGTAGAAGATTCTTCAAGTACTCTAGTAAACAGAGGAACACTTTTCATCTGACAGCAGCATAGTTATGTGGTATAGTTAGAACCATTTCCTTCAATTGCAGGCATTTAAAGGAAATGATTCTTTTCTTTTTTTTCTGTTTTACAGGAACAGAACAAGTGAGAGGTCGTTCACTGCCTTGTGTTGAATGACACCATATTGAAACATAAGGCTATTCTTGATCAGCTTTGGAGCGGTTTATCAATTCTGGGCTTCAAAAAAGAGCTGGAAAAAGCTCCAGCAAAATTTGAGCATTTTTTTGTTCACAGCAGTGATGAAGTAACACCAACCTCTGTCAAGTCACTACTGAAACCTCCTGTTACTGATGATACACAAGTGAAAAATGTCATGCAGATGCTCTATTCATTTATACAGAATTCATCAGTAGATGATCTGTATGATTTTTTATCTTTTACCACTGTTTCAAGATCCAGTACTTCCATTTTTGTGCCTGGTTCAATAGCAGTGTCAGTTGGAAACACAGAGGCCATTTTTGCTTCAACCTGTACATTAGAGTTAAAGCTGCCCTCTGGGTTTGCCAGCTACCCTGAATTTGAAAGTTTTATGAGGGCAGTGTTTAGGGGAAAGAAAATGTACACTACTGTGTAACCAAGCTGTACCCAAACTTTCTTTGTAAAGTAACACACAGTTACCTGAATTTGATCAATAACTTAAGAAATTGATTGAAAAACTAGTCACATGAGGTGTGGTTGTTGTAGCGCGACTTAAAGTCGTTTGCAGTGAGCCCGATGTATGTGTCTGTCGTGCTGTTGTCTTTACGTGTAATGGTAGCTTGGTATATGACAGATTGTTGGAGGCAGTTTCCGTCTAGAGGGCATGAGTTTTTCTGTCGGCAGTTGCATCTCTTGTTGTTTGCGGTAGAGGTGTCGGTTGTGGCGGTGGCGTTAGTCTTTACATGGGAGGTGAGGATTCTTTTGTTGTGGTTGTCGATGATTTGTTTTGTATTGTCTATGCAGCTGCAACTAATTTTGATTGTGTTTCTGTTGAAAATTCTGCGGAGCTTATGATCTTTGGGGAAGTGTTTGTCAATCAGCGCGAGGAATTTGTGTCCAATGTTAGTGCTGGTGTTCTTGGTGAAAGGCAGGTTGTACCAGAGGATGTTGTTGCGTTGGCGAATCTTGCGACTTTGTGTGTGCGTTGGTTCGTAGTGGAGTGTGTAGCTGTAACCACTGGTGTTTACAGCTATTATCATCATTAAAAAACAATATTCTTTAGGAGGAACTTCCTAGCATGTCTGCAACCCGATGTGAGCTCATTTCTGCTGTCGAAGGTTGACATTTCTGGTATGCACAAAATGAAAAACACATCTGGACAAACATAAATTACATCTCCTGTTTACATTCGAATAGGACCTAGCTCGTTTAACTTTGCGCCATTTGATTTCATACACAATTTACCTATCTTTTAGGCTCCATATGAACTTACTTAGTTCTGTTCCGTGCCTATACCGCTCATTGCGAAATGAACACATGATTCCTGTATCTTAGTTTGAAGGTAGTGTCACAGATTCCGAGGTGTGTTTCCTTTGTGGTTGCAGTTGTGACTTCAGCCTGGTAGATGACATTTTCCGCATTGCAGTTACCATTCATAGGGCAGAAGTGAGGTTTGCGGCAATTAGAGTTCTTTTTCTTATTGTTGGTGCGTGCGGATTTGTTAATTAAAGTTTTGTTATGATTAGATATTATTGTTTTGATGTTGCTGATGCAGCTGTAGCTTCATTTTAAGTGTGATGCCGTTAAAAATTTTATGAAGGGGATTAGACTTGGGGAAATGCTTATCGATAAGTGAGAGGAATTGTTTGCCAATGTTTGTTGCCACGTTCATGCTGAATGGCGGGTTGAACCACAGGCTGTTCCTTTGTCTCGTATTACAAGGGCGGGATGTCTGGCTTGGTGTGTAGGAGAACTTATGACAGTAGCCACTTTTGTCCAGTGCCTCTTGTTAGATGCTTTTAGCCCTGTTGAAGCTTTCTTTATCTGAGGATATTTTGGACAGCCTTTTGTTGATAGATAAAGGGACGTTCCTCAGTATGGATGGTGGGTGGTTAGATTCTTTATGGACATTTAATTTAACATAATTTATATAGCGCTAACTCCACTTATTGACCAAAGCGCTTTACAATTCATAATATTAAAATAATTAAAAAGATCCCACTGGTAATAAAGTATGAATAAATTAAAAAGCTATTTGCAGACTTATTTATAAAAATATCACAGTAAATCCTATTCCAAGTTATCAAAAAGTTAAACATTATATGCCTTTTTAAAAAGATCAGTCTTAAAGTGTTTCTTGAATAAATTAATTGTATCTAAACTTCTAAGATCTAATGGCAGCTCGTTCCAAAGTTTAGGTGCAGCAACGGGAAAGGCCCTGTCTCCGTATGTTTTAAGTCTTGACTTCCGAACAGCCAGAAATTTTTGATCAGTAGAGCGTAGCGTACGTGAACAAGTATGATAACTAAGTAATTCCATGAGATGTAATGGTGGCATACCATTTAGGGTCTTATAAACTAACAATAAAACTTTACAAAGAATATGAAAGTGAACAGGTAACCAATGCAGTAGAAGCAATACAGGGGTGATATGATCAAATTTCTTGGTTAAAGTGGCAATTCGAGCAGCCTTGTTTTGCACAGACTGCAAACTACTTATCATATGAATAAAGGCTGATAGTTTCGAAAGAAACTGTTTGGGGCTGCGTTGGTGGGAGTAACGAAATAATTTGGATATATCAACAAAGTTGAAATGGTAAATTGGCCACCGTAATGATTACAAAAGCTGACGTTTCGAGCGTTAGCCCTTCGTCGGAGCGAATAGAGGAATTGTGGGTTGTGTGTGCTTTTAAAGGCAGAAAATGGAGCTACGTTATTGGTGGGTGCATGGCAACGAGAAAAACATGAATAAATTAGTGGAATGAAAAGCGTTCATTGATCCCTGTGGGATTTAGACTGCCGGTTTGAAAGATGAGCTTTTGTTCAAGATTTTTACGGCTTTCCGTGCCACCTAAGTGCAAGGAAAGACCGCAGATTGCCATATGTTGCTTAGAATGATTAGGTAAATTAAAATGTCTAGCGACTGGTTTCGATGTGTCCTTGTCATTCCTTTCCACGTCTCGAAGGTGTTCTCGGAATCGGTCACCTAGTCTTCTGCCTGTTTCGCCGATGTATATCTTTTTGCAATAAGTGCAAGTTATGCAATAGATTACATTGGCGGAGGTGCACGTGAAGTGATCGGTGATCTTAATGGATCGTTTAGGTCCCGATATTTTATCAGTGTTGTGAATGAAAGGACACGTTTTGCATCGTGCACGAGCGCATTTAAAAGTGCCTGGTTGGTCATTAGTCTGAAAAGAACTTCTGACCAAAAAATTGCCTATGTTTTTGTCGCGTTTGAATGAAATGAGCGGAGGCTGCGAAAAGATAGTGCTTGTCTCTGGATCGTTTTGAAGTAATTTAAAGTTTTTAAGAATGATGGATTTAACTGAGTGGTTGTGAGGGTGAAACGTGAGAGTGAATGGAATGCGGTCGGAATCTTCCTTATGCGACGTTTGTAGTGCTGAATGTCGATCAATAAGTTGNGATTTAGTTTTCTTTCCTTGTTTATTCTTTCCTCTTTGAATAACGGGGGAAGATGTAACGATGTTAATTTATGCATGTTGAGTTAATTTATACAGTTTACCTTACATCTGAGTTCCCAGATGTATTCGTTCACTTTGCTTCATGTGCACTCGGCTTACAAGATTAAATGTTGTGTTTAGAGTCTCTGGTGTTTCACTGTCTGTCTTAGCGAACACGCTACAGAACATATTTACATTAAAACTAAAAATGCTAGTAGGTTTACAGAATAACCTGAATTTAGACTAAACGTAAGAAATATAATAAGATTACGTAATGCACTACATACCTGAAGCTTCTGTCAAAATGAGATGCCATCACTAACAGTATTAAACACAAATGAAAATTATGTTACAGGGGGTTGTACTTTCTTTTTAACTAGGGATATGTAAGTCAGTCGCAGCAATAACGAGTAAATTAAAGAAGCCTCGGGCAAAATAATTTAGGGTAGGAAGCATCATTGATACTTTTCCTGAAAACTGGCAGCAAACTATGAACAACTGAGTCCCAAGCAGAGCGAGTTCTTTGGACAATACCAAGTCTGGGCCAGAAGCTTTCTTTGGGTCTGCAGCCTTGATCACCCTTTGCCTAACAACATCCCAGTTGAGGTCGTTAGAACTGGATGATGGGGTTACATGACTAATATGGGTTTGTAGGAGTACCTTGAATTCAGTGGAAGTAGAACCTACGTATTGTAAATTGCATTTCTTATACGAGGCACAAGTAAACAACATTTCTGGAAGAGCAAGACAAGTTTTGGCAAATCTTATAAGTTCGGCCTGTGGTAAAAGTTTTAAATTTGGAATCTTGAATTAAAAATTCCTCGAAAGGTCGCATCTAGAGGAGCATTTAAAACACCCTCCCGTTTCCTTCTCTGCCTGACTAACTTTCCTATCCACACAAAATCTAGAAGGCGCCAAAATGTCTTTGAGGTTTTTGGTACGGCGATTTGCTGGAAAAATCGATTCTGATGGAAAAATTTCCGATAACTCGGGGGACGATCTTAAGAGATGAGCATGTTTTTGGAGAAGCCTCTGAATATCTGGGAGGATAGGATTGTAGTTGAGGACTAATGGAAATAGTTTTTTCTTGGACTTGACATTTTCCTTCAGGAGTACTGATCTTTCAATACTCAGCACTCTGTCAAATTGATTGTCAACCAAGTCTGCATTATAACCCTGGGATTTAAGATACCCTTTGTATTCGACACATCTCTTGTAAAGAAACTCATCCGTAGAACAGTTACGCCTAATGCGTAAAGCAACTCCGTAGGGGATTGCCCTTTTACAGTGTGCTGGGTGCGAACTGGAAAAGGGTAAATAAAGATGGCTATCTGTAGGCTTAGCATAAATATCAGTAATGATGAACCAGTCTTGAAGGTGCAGTGTGAGATCCAAAACATTGAGGGTATGCTCAGAGTAGACCAGCTCAAATTTGATAGTGGGATAAAGGGAATTTATGTACTTGGTAAACTCTAATAATTCAGGCAAACCATGTGTCCAAACATCAAAAACATCATCCCTATATCTCCACCACAACAACAGTTTCACACCACCTCCAGACTTAGCTTTCTCATCAATTAATCCCATAGCCAAGTCGGCATAACTACATGCGTTTTGGGGCCCATAGCCGTACCATGTTTTTACACAAAATTTTTCCCAGAAAATTGACAATTTTTGGCTTGGAGGCAAATTTCGATTGCCTCAACAATGCATTTGGTGGATGGAAACTTGATCGATCTAGAATCAAGAGCTTTTCTAAGAGCTGAAATGCCTAAGTTATTATCAATATTGGGAAACATAGCAACAACATCCCAAGAGACCAACAGACACCCAAGTGGTAAAGGACCTTCCTCAGAATTAAATGTTTGGATCTTGTTGATAAGATTAGTGGTATCTTTAACAAACAAGGGTAGATTTTGGGCAAGAGGCTTAAGATAAAATTCAGTAAAAGCAGAAAGTCTTTCGATTGCCGTTCCGCAGCAAGATGTAATTAAGCGGAGAGGGTTGCCCTCTTTATGAGTCTTCACATTGCCAAAAGCCACCCCCGGTTTAGGTTCTAAA